ATATATATATATCACGATATATATATATATATATATAACACGATATATATATACTACGATATATATATATATGTGTGTGTGTGTTGTGTGCGTGTGTGTGTGTGTGTGTGTGTGTGCGTGTGTATAATCCACACTTAAGACGCGCTTTAATGCGTTCGCTAGTATGCGTATGCGTGACTACATTCAGCACAATTCTCGTGGGTACGGTCGATGCAGATTTCTCTGTCAGGACGCGCTTTCAGACACTCGCTAATGAGCGGATGCGTACCTATAGTCAATGTAAATGGTCTCTCTTATAGCGTGCTTCTTTTGTTTGGTGTATGTATCTATAATCAATGTAAGTACATGGTCTCGCTCACAATGTGCTTATTATATTTTGTGTGTCTCTCTCTTATAGCGTGCTTCTTTTATTTGGCGTATGTATATTCAATGTAAATACATGGTCTTTCTCATAACGTTCTCCTTGTATTTGGTGTGTGTCTCTCTTATAACTTGCTTCATGTATTTGGTGTATGTACCTATAATCAATGCACGTACATGGTCTCTCTCACATCGTGCTTATTGTATTTGGTGTGTGTACTGCAGCAACCTCAATGGAAGAGTCTCGAGATGAGTGTCTGGTACCTGAATCCCTAGGCGGGTCAGGCATGTACGAGAACGTTGATGACGCTCTATTCGAAGATCTAGTAGAGCAACAACAGGTATGCTAAGCTGGTGTATTGTCTATCCTTGCGTTTGATAACACACGTGCATCTGAAAGTGTACATGGTCGTATTGTAGAACAAACGAATGAGCAGCAACAGGAATGGGAAGCTTGTGGGCTGTTGCCCTTGATGTTGGTTTGTCTTGTGTGTATCTTAGGTTTTACTATATAACAAGTTATACTGTAGAACAAGCTTGATACTTTATACTTGTTAAACTGCAGAACAACCGAATAAGCAACAACAGGTATGTCATAGCTGGTGGGCTGTGGGGTTAATCCGTGCAGGAGCTATGCGTATACTTAGTCGTACTGTATAAAATGCCGGTTTACTGTACCCCCAGTCGTACAGGGGTTGTCACTATAGAAGTGCACGGTATGAGAGTGTCTAGGTGCCATGGCTGTGTAACTGCCTGAATGGCTGTACGCCTATTCCCTTAGGGTTCGATCTGACAAACCCCCATCGATTGACTGTATGTCTGGTATGTATAAGGTTTGGTATGTTTAGTATATTTCGTATATTACGTATACGTATTTGGTACATGTATTTGGTATTTGGTACATATGTACTTGGTAAATCAATAATAAATCTTGCCCCAAACTACCTGCGCTTATTGTTGCACTATTTCCTCCCCCACACACCCCCTTGAAATTAGTACCGTGATGCGCCCCACAGATTAATCAGTCGCACTAGTGGTACTAGCGAGCATAGTGAGACCAGCACCACTCCTCTAAACTTTGCGAGTGCCTCGCCATCAGGCAGACGTAGAGGTAGGTCCTTTTAATTTGCCCTATGTATGGTATGCACGTGTTCACTCAGCATATCTGTCTGGTATGATGAATTAGGTAATCCCACCAGTTTTTGTCTTCTGAGGACAGGGTAAGGTGCTTTTTTAAATGTACTATCAGGATTATCAGGTACGAAGGCGCCGTTTTGTTTCAAGGAGGTATACGAAGGTTTCGTTTACTTTGACTTGAAGAGATAGTGAAACCGTTTGGCTCAAATCTGTTATAGGAAAGTGGCGGTATTATCTATTGGTCCGACTGTTTTAATAACACCTTAAGTGTGAGTCTGCTTTAATTTATATTAATCTCGCGGCTTCAGGCTGATGAATTAATTTGGGAATCGACATTGTCTGTTGCTTAGCAGTATATGGATGGTATCTTTTTCCCAGGCGATAATATGTAGTTAAACAACCTTTAGGAAGTATCCGGACTATCTGTGCTTTCAAATGTTAACAGCACCTTTAGCCTGTTGTAAGGCGGCTATAGATTCATAGTAATCGTGAGATCCCAGGCTGGGGATCAGTATTGTCTTTGGTCTGTCTAGGTGATGTAGTACAAATCACACGGGGTACATTTACTCTACACACGTCCACTTCAGGATCTGGAGGGGGGCTCTTGGCACACCCTGGTAGCACTCTATCGCCCTATGAGAACGACGACGACAGGCAGGAACCGGGCCACTTGGATACGCCCGCGAGCGATATACAGTTGCTGGATGACACATACAGACACGGAACAGCTGGAAGGGGACGTACCACAGTACACGAGCCGCTGAATGCGCATAGAATATAAGCTCACACAGAGCGATGCCCGAGCGAAGACGGAGGAGACGGTTCACCGGAGGCTTGGGGCATTGGCTTGTTGTTTGCAACAGTTATACTTAGAAATATAAGTGCGGGGGTATGCCTCGTACAGAAAGAAAGAAACAAAGAAAAACGAAATTAAAATAAGTGGTTGATCCATCCACAACTTCATTTACCTAAAACCCTAAACAGTTACACTTAGAAATATAAGTGCGGAAGTATGCCTCGAACAGAAACAAACAAACAAAGAACGAACGAAATTAAAATAAGTGGTTGATCCATCCACAACTTCATTTATCCTATAGGCTACATAGTATCGCCTATTCCGTTTGGTTTATATAGTATACTTTGCCGGTTGGTTGTATATAGTATACTATGCCGGTTGGTTGTATATAGTATACTATGCCGGTTGGTTGTATATAGTATACTATGCCGGTTGGTTGTATATAGTATACTATGCCGGTGGGTTGTATATAGTATACTATGCCGGTGGGTTGTATATAGTATACTTTCCTAGGTGGTTTTATTACACCTCGCGTTTAAAGGTCCTACTCTTCTCCAGAGTTGTGCAAGAACTAGTATCTTCAAGTAGCAGCCCAATCAGCTCCTTCTTCATATATACAAAGAATCTATTCGACATCCTAGTAGCCTAAGTTTCTCGATCATTCCAAGAAACGTGTACTAAGAGACAATCCACCCGTCCGTGACAGTTAACAATTCGTATGAAATTATCTGTGTCATCCAGCGAATTCCATTTTTCTTGAAAATATAACGCCACAGGATATACAACACAAGTATTCAGCCGAAAAGGTACTGTTTTAAGGTTCAGTATAAAAATCTGTGTTGATACAAAGCAAATATATCTACGTTTGCCAACATATTCTACATGATTGAAATTAAAAGACAGATTAACCATTTCCAAACAATAGGACGCACACCTACGAAAAAAATCATCCCATCACCCGAACACCTGAGCAAAATTGGATAACGTAGAGCGTAGTGGAGTCACTGTAAACCACTATTCCTACGCATGGGTTGAAGTAGTACAGGACTCAGAAAGACTACCACTAATCTCAACTGTAGTGAGATGCAACAGAACTACCATGCATACATTGAGGTAGTACAGGACTCAAAAAGACTATCACTCATCTCAACTGTAGTGAGATGTAACAGAACTACCATGCATCGGCTGAGGTAGTACAGGACTCAGAAAGACTATCGCTAATCCCAACTGTAGTGAGATGCAACAGAACTACCATGCATACGTTGAGGTAGTACAGGACTCAGAAAGATTATCGCTAATCTCAACTGTAGTGAGATGCAACAGAACTACCAGAGCCCTCAATCGAGCGCTTGAAGTACAGCAAACGAGAAGTACTTGGGATGTACATGTATAGCCAAACATTAAGTCTCTTTAATTGTCGATCTTAAACTTTCTCGGCGACCTCTTCCACGGCGTCAGTGACCTTCTCGGTTATAGTTTTGCTGCAATGCAAAGGAATAAAAATATGCCGAGTTGCTGTCAATAGAAGATCATATGCAGAAAAGTAATGCTTGACACGAAAAATGAAAAAAAAGTGTATATAAACACGAAAATGCGTATGGATGCCTTACTTAGAGAGTAGCCCAAAAAAAATATTAACAATGGCAAATCATGAACAAAAGTGTACATATACACAGAAATACGAATGGTTGTCTTAGAGAATAGAGACACCATAAAAACAAGGTTTAACAACGGCAATCACGAACAAAAGTGTATATATATAAGTTATTTGCACACGAAAATGCGCATGGTAGCCTTACTCTGCAGTGGTGTATCGTCCCATCTGAATGGACTGGGCCGCGAAATTGGTCACGTGGCAGGCGAACAGTGCGTAATTGGGGGGGTAGATAGCCAGCGACCACCGCATGAACAGGCCACTGTACACCATCAGAGCTAAGAACGCGAGGATGTGTATGTTAATGTGGGGTGAAGTATATATACCGAGGTATATACTATAGCAGCAGGATGGGTATGTACATGTGAGTTGAAGTATATGTAATGTATAGTAGCAGCATGTGTATGTAAATGCAGGGTGAAGTATGTATACTATATAGAACGTAAGAAAAAGCGAGTTGAAATATATATGCTAAATAGAACGCGGGCTGTGAATGTAAATGTGGGTTGTAGTGTATATATTCAATACAACACATAGTATATTAAACGTTTTCATGAAGAGATAATTAGCGTCCCAGCGTCCAGAGACAAGGCTAGAGAACTGATATGCTGATGTGGCGAGAAACAAAACGAATTTGATTTCAAGGTACTAACGCTGTTCTTATAGTAGAAAGGCCGAGGAAGCGCGAGGAATAGGGTGATTCGCATACATACATACATGCATACATACATACATGCATGCATGCATACATACATACATACATACATACTTACTTACACACTTACGTACATACATAAATAAATACATGCATGCATACATACATATATACACACATGCATACAATCATACATACATGTATACATACATACATACATACGTACATACATACACAACCAGGGCACTAATTAAACGTACCTCCAGTCATTCCCGGGTTGATGTATGACGCATCCTTTTGCATTGAAGCAATTGCCTGTGAGTGCAACGTAGAGATGTGGTAGGATTGTTAGACGCGTTGTTCATGTTTGTTAAAAGACTGAAGGCGGGCTCAGAGCAGGGTTGATATAAGCAGATAGTTGGGGGCGGGTGGCGGGGGAGGCGAAAGTAGGTCAACTTATCATCGCGTACGTATCCACTTATACCTACAACAACATGACACACAAATGGACAGTACACATAGATATTCGTACTCATAGTGCACATACCAGGCAATTGCAATAGCATGGTACACACAATCGTAATAATCGCACTACAAATAAACACATGTTTTCACAACAATCACATAAAACCGAACACAGATATTCACAACGAACTTACCGCAACAGGAATAGTCCAATTAGCAACTAAAAGCCCCGGGCGTGCCAGTCAGCGAAGTGAAAGCAATCGAAGGAATAAAATCAGTACAATGAGTGAGTCCAACTCCTTGAAACCTTTAAATTGCAACAGTTAAGCGACGCATGACATCCCGAGATTAAACGTGTTCCTCCATATTGGAAGTGGCTTTCAAGAATACTTGTTCGCACTACAAAATGTAACACGTGTTTTCTGATAGTGCAAATGGGTCGTTGGGAACGTTCCAGCAGCGGAAAATAGTTTGTATTTTATACATTGCACAGGACACAACAATACAACTCGACTAAAAAAAGACATTCCAAAGATGCGGGAGGGAAATCCCCTCGACTTCAAATCACTAAAATTGACACGGAGTTCATATATATATGTATATATATATATCTATATATATATATATATATGTGTGTGTGTGTGTGTGTGTGTGTGTGTGTGTGTGTAGTA